ACATAACGAATCTAATGGTATCTGAAGACGAACAGATACAATAAGATTGGCTTTGGGATACTTTTGTAAAATATTTTTTGCTGCATTCGAACTACAATATATATGCACTGTGCTTTATACGCATGTTAGAATCTTATACGCCAGATTGAACACCAGATAGGCATTTAAAACACGCATCATATTTTGACGTATGATAAAGTGGTATTCAAATTTTAAAAGAAACATTATTTAGAAGTTATGAAGAGAAAGTCAGCCTATTAATGCTACTCAAAACTTATAAATAAATCGAGTTCCGCCAGGTCAAGGCACGATTTCTATCCGGGCTGGTGCCGACTAAGCTAGTTCACGAGCACGGTTTGTATAATCAGCCATTTTGATTCCTGACCCACCATAAGCCTATTTTGTTACAACCATTTCAAAATAATAAGGTACATTTTTGCTTTAATGTACGTATCCCTGAAAACAAACTCGTTATTTTCTGTACAATCATCTGTACAGAGATTTTGCTGCCTTCCTGTGACATAATTTTGACATTAAATTATTTGGAGTTTTGCCCATGCACTAAAGATTTCCCTATTAGTTCCCCTTTTTGTTTTAATCTAAGATTAGTTCATCATTTTTTTTATAATGTCATGTAATCGAAAAAGTTTTTGTTACATTTACGATTTTAAAAGTGATTTCGAAATTCAAACTGCTATTCCAATTTTATCTATAACATAATCTATTGCCCGCGTGGTGGGTCATGGCCCAATCTTCCTATTCCATCCATTGGGAAGGCCTGTGCCCCAGCAGTGGGGACATTAATAGGCTGATGATGATGATGATGAATCTATTGCATTGAAAATAAAGGAGAAATTTCAAATATGTTTGTACCATATCTACACAGTTTCCTTGTTATTAGAAGATCTTAAGTGCAATCACACATTCTCTTCGAAGGAAAACTTGTCAGTAAAGACGTTCTTAAGCGAATTATCGGGCAAGTGGGTCAGGAATTAGTCGGTTCGATCGTACGTTTGTACCGACTACAAACCGTCGCTAGCGCCGGTGTCGTTAAGAAACCTCCATTGTCTCCTCATACTTAACTGATGGCCGGATGTATGTAGATGTGTGTACCGTGCGTACGAGTAGAAATAGTCTCGTTAACAAGCACTCTTAGTTGATGCGGCAAAAAAAGAAACCGCTAATTGCAAATTCTTTGATTTTCGGACGTTGTTATTGTTGTAGATAGAAGGTTAAAAAACTGTCAGTAAACATTCATTATACAAATACCTAGGTAACACTGAAAATGTTAAGAAAATGAAAAACGGCTTTATGTAGAAAGTTGCCAATACTTTTATTTAAATCTAAAGAAAATATAACTAGAAAAAATTCCACGCGGACCAGGCAGCAGACGGGACTCGAACCCGCACCCTTCGCAATCCGGGCGAATGCACTGACCAATTATGCTACCGCGGTTTTTCTAGTTATATTTTCTTTAGATTTAAACATCAAGCAGTTACATGCTTTAAAAATAATAAAAATTATAATACTTTTATTGTTTTTCAAAGTAATCTCCGTTCCTCTCTACACATCGTCGCATTCGATGGAACCACTGAGAAAAGCAGTGGGCCCATTCTTCCTTAGGTGTCTCTTCTATCCCGGCAAGGCCGGGAGGCTGCTAGGTGCGGAGACGCGGAAGAACCCTAAACAGGGATCCCGCGGCTTCGCGCTAAGCAGATTAGAGGGTGTTCGCAGGGTTTTTTAGCGGATATTATTAAAACTCAAAGTCGCGCAGCGTGCTATGGAGAGGGCTATGCTCGGTGTTTCCCTACGTGATAAGATCCGGAATACGGAGATCCGTAGAAGGACCGGTGTGTACGACATAGCCCGAAGAGTTAGCACGCTGAAGTGGCAATGGGCAGGCCACATCGCTCGAGGACCTGACAACCGTTGGGTAAGAAAGGTCCTCGAGTGGCGACCACGTACCGGACGACGCAGCGTGGGGCGGCCCCCAACACGGTGGACTGACGACATCGTCAAATGTGCTGGGAGCCGCTGGATGCGGATAGCGCAGGACCGCGCATTGTGGCGTTCTATGGGGGAGGCCTATGTCCTGCAGTGGACGGAAAAAGGCTGATGGATGGATGGATGCCGTAAAGCGCCCGTAAGGGTTACGGGGTCCTCAGTGGGCAGCCACTGCTGGGGCTCGTAAGGCTTGCGGGAGCCAGGTGTGAGGTCCGTTCGGCGGTGTGCCTCTTAAAGGCGCCGTCGTCTGTAAATAGTATTTTTTGCCTGCGTATAAAAAAAAGGTGTCTCTTCTATGGCATTTTAGTACGCTTTTACAGCATCTTCAGGGTTCGTAGCGAATACCTCGAATTTTATCTTTAGTTCTTGGGAATAAATGAAAGTCGCAACGCGCCAGGTCAGGACTGTATGGCGGATGACTCATTATCTCGACACCTGCCATTGTCAAATATTCAGCAGTCCGTTTTGCGGAGTGCGCTAAAGCATTGTCGTGGTGAAGGAGGATCCCGCTTCGAGGGCGCTGCTGTCCAATTTTTTCCAAGACAACACCCAAACAGCGATTGACATACCAGTCTGCAGTAACTGTCCTTCCATCTTCTAGCACAACTGTCGCGAAATGACCTTTCCGACCAAAGAATGAGGCAATCATCTTTTTTCCTTGACTTCTTTCTTTCTTTACCTTAGTTGGCCGATCCTCGAAAGGAAACATCCACTGATCTGATTTTCTTTTGGTGTCGGGTTCGTAGTAATATATTCAGCTTTCATCACCTGTGACGATGTCAAATACAGCATTTCAGACACCGCCGTTGAACTTATCTAACATTTGGCGACATCAGTCCAAGCGAAGGTGTTTCTGGTCGTCGGTTAAAGTATGGGCAATCCATCTGGTACAAAGCTTCCTGACGTCTAAATGTTCGTGTAATATTTTTTGAACTTGACTCACACCAATGCCTAGGCTTGCCCGTATCTGCTGACAGGTCACTTTCTTATCTTCCTCTATCATGCGTCGCACAGCACTGATGTTATCTTCAGTAGTCGCTGTTAAAGGACGTCCCTCACGCGGATCATCATTGAGATTGCTACGTACATGCTTGAACTCGTTAAACCAATTGTAAATAATCGCAGCCAATCATAGCTTTGTATTGAGTAAGCCCACAACGAAAGTCATTATAAATCATTGACCGAAAATTTTCCGGCGTTAGGTTCATTTTCACGTGTAACAAGAGTTTTAGTTTTGCCGCCAATTCACAAAAACAAATGACAAATGAATGCAATATACTAAATGAGGTCACCACAGAGATCTAAAATTGAAATAAAAAAAAAGTTCATTAGCAATGTTTCTAACTGGCCAGTTCTAAACATTTTCAGTGTTACCCACGTATATGTTTTTTTGTCACATTTTTGATGCTCTATCCCACCTTACAAAACTATGTATTTATGAATATAACAACCATTTATTCCTAATTATAGTATTGTAAGCTTCTCAATTTATTTTTCATTGAAGTATTACTTTATTTTCGGACAAATATTCAGTATTGATGTAACCTTTAAGGAGTTCTAGAAAAATACTTCGTTAGCTTATTGGCATGCTCTTGAAAGAGCTTCTAATAACGACCGCCTACCGACTGCCGGGGCCATGTTATTCCTTACAATTTCTTCTGACAAAATAAACCAATAATTATATAAATAAATAGTTTAAACAAATGGTTGATCATTTAGAAGAAGCGTTTTTATGACTCTTAATTTAAAGAACATTGGTGGTTTCATAATCTTTACTAAGAAATTTGCGGTTTTCGACTAGCACTAGTGGATATTGGAATAATGTAAGTCGACGTTAAACAGTTTGCCCCCTAATTCTATAAGTGAGATTATTAGTGGGACTAGTCGAACTAGATGGTATTTTGTGATAATGCAATAACCTAAACTGCAAATACATTGCAAGCTCGCAATCTACATATGACCCATTTAAAAGAGCTATAGTTAGTTATTACTCTTTTGTGCTCTTTACTTAAACACTTTCATTGGTTATTTCAGAGTTGGTTATCTTATCTCAACATATTCATCGGACTTAAAAGTGCTCTGGAACGTGAAAAATTAAGCAAATAAATTTGCGCGGAAATATTGAAATCTAGACAGTATGACCAACTCTCAGCAATATCCTACTAATATGATAAATGTGAAATTTTGTTACTTAATTACGAAAATTGGTACGCATATAATTTATGATCTGGATTGAGCCAGGATAGTTTTTATTCGGGAACAATTTAAAGAATTTCATTAAACTAAAGGTGGTGGCGGCCGCAAATGGATAGTGTTTTAGTTAAGTTTTTTGTATTATTGGTTTTAGTTTTTAGTGGAACCGATTCTTCTGACTTCGTGTACATTATGTCGCTAGACAGTATTTAAGGCAATATAGCAATTTGGCAAAATTATACCATTGAAGTACTTGATAAAGAATTCAAATCAAAGTCCATATTCAGGTTTCAATTAAGATTCTCTTTAAATATTAACATCGTTTAAAATACTATATTGCATTTCCCTTGCTGGACTGGGAGTGAAAGGAAAATTAGAATGCGCTATCCATTGTTACTTTTGGGCACTACTGTAATATTATAACATTTTTATTTATTGTTTTTTATTAGGAATGCAATAATACCTACCTTGCAATATTAAATACACTGGGAAATTCGACATGTCCATTAAGATCTTGGTAATATGTTAGCGGTTAGTGTGTTCACCCGGATTGCGAAAGATGCTGGTTTGAGTTAACCAAAGTTGAGTCAGCCCAATACCTTCGTGACACCGTGGGACCTTTTCAAGCGGTGCTGGACTTTTAAGTATGTAGGTAAAGTTTAAAATTATTGCACACTAGAAAGCACTCGCCGCGTCGCTGCCGGTGTATATCGGCCTTTAGTGTTTACCTATAGTGCGGCTAAGAGCATTATTTAACCTTAACCTAAACTTCATTTATTTTTAGGTTTATTTATGATACTTTAATGTCTGGTAGGTTATTGTGAACTCTCACAATAAACAGGACATAACGCTTGTTTGCTTACCTTCCACATAAAAAAATATAATAATAATAACTATTTATTTGTCCCAAAAAATACATATAAAATTACAGAAAACTTAAAAATCTAACATGCCAGCTTTTTGGAAACAAAAAGAGAATGTGACTCAGCTTTAGACCGCCGTATTACCGGAAGTCGCTGATATTCTGCCTCAACTCATATGGTGGTAGCGCACATTTTATGTTCTTCCGTGCCTACTCGAAAGAATATGTAAGCTAGTAACAACGAAGACACCACAACTTTCTTGACCCAAAGTAATACTAAAAATACTTTTTATTCATAATTTTATTTGATTGTTCCCAGATTCTTTTACCTGTACCACTTCTCGTTCTACGCGTACCACTACAGATTTAATGGACAGTACAGCAGCTTGGCTCTCGTCACGTCGTGGCTTTTTATACAGGTAAGTAATTTTAATACTGCACTCGGTTTTTGGAAATACTCTAAGAACTTTCTTTAAAAGTAAATACTAAAGTTTACATGACATAATAATTTCATACTTTCCGGATTCTTGGTTGTCCAGGGAACATAAATTCTCTAAGAATAAATTAAAAGGGAAAATCATAGTATAGCCTTACCACAGAAAAGTTAGGCATTCATTACGAATTTAAGAAGAATATGTCATAAAAATTTCTTAAACATTATTTAAAGCAGTGTTTAACTTGTGACACAAAAACAACCCATGTTGGGATTGCATATATTTTGCAGCAAAATACGTGTACTCTTTTAAAAGTAAAGTTCATTGATAAACGTTCTTATGTAATCTGAAACTTGATAGAAAATAATACAATGTTTAACACAATATAGAATAATGGTAACTGACTTGGAATAATGTATGTATACGTTATTTTCTTCTTTCTTAAAAACAAGGAAATAGTGTTAATAGTCTCAGTAAATTTTTAAACGTTTGTGTTAGACTCGTGAGAGCGGCCATCGCCTCTGGGTCTGGCGCACGTACGCTGCCGCCGCTTGTCGGCTTTGCACAGTTTGTCCGAAGCTTTATTAGCTATCCGCTGCGTTGCTCTGGTTATTAATTATCTTTTACTTCAAACGCTCCACGTCAACTACAAAACTCTACTGTTCGTACCCTCTCCTTAATTTTAAATCGCCGGACGTGATCTTTTGTTATTCTCTCTGCTGCTTTTTGAGTACGTTACTAATTTTATCTACATCCATGCTTTAAAACCTCTATAAATGATTCTGAAAGAGTCAATCAAAAGCTTATTGCCAACATTAAAACGTCCATTGTCCTAATAACAATAATATCGTCAAAATGGATGATATAATGTACTAAATTTCATAATAATACTACTTCGCTCTTTCGACCCCTTCCGCGCAAAGGGTATACTCACCAGACGGCCACATTGCTCGATACGTGCTAGTATGCAGTATCTGAACGAATAAAAAAAAATATTGTCTTTGAATTGAATTTTAAGTTCTAAGAAAACCTCATTTCGTGGGTGTAGTAAATAGAGTCTTGTATACAACTATTTATAATAAGGTAGGTATGTGATACTGTTACCATCCACATTCGTATTTTATTGCCCTCATTATACAACAGTTGCATAAATAACTATAAAGTTAAAAATATCAGAGTCACAATAACGTATGGGGAAAACTATAAAGCATAATACAGTAAATATGTCATTTCATTTTATTTTTTCAATTAAACATACGCTATCAATACAATGGCTCTAGAGATTGAGATTCCTTTCACACACAAACTTATTTTATCATCACCGCGCAGCAGAATCTCTTATTATTTTTAAACTAAAAGGAAAAGCTCCTTAGCCCACTGAGGGTTCCGGCTGCTAGCATTTGTCAACAAATCACGTCCCCATACGTTATTGTGACTCTGTGACCGAGCGCGTACTTGACAATAATCACCCCACAAAACTCAACTTTACCCTCTGCGATATAAAATATAACTTCCGCTGCATGATGCGTCTAACTGGTGTTCTACATTGTGCCTCCAACGCTTGACGCATACTTTTTAATACCGTGCTGCTGAAATGGAGGATGATTCGTTATTGAAAATTGTATGCACAATATTTATTCTTTTTGTTTTTTGTTGGGCATATACTTTCCTATGAGCAGATATATTTAATTAAATCTACAATCTTTCAGACACCTAAAAGATCAAAAGTATTATGTTATTTTTCTCAAAAATAATTTCTTTAGGTAATTAACCTTTCAATTTATTGAAATGACTTATTAAACAAGGCATAGACCAATCAACTGATATAATAAATTCAAGTAAAAGCTTATTGGATTGAACTGTTGGATTAAAGTTATTATTCAACCGACGAAAAAAATGGGAGGAGGTTCTGAAGTCGACTCGTATATTTTTTTTATGTATACGCATAACTTTTTACAGAGTACTCCGATTTTGATAATTCTTTTTTTTTAATGGGCCTATATAATTTTGGACAAAAATCCAACCCATATGGTAGGAAAACAGGGGATGATTGATTGTTTACTCAATGATTTTAATGTATGACCACGGTTAACTTTTTACACAGATCTTTTTTTATTGAATAGGGATACTACGATTATGGGATAAATATTGACCCAGAAATCCTACCCTAAGGGTGGGAAAAGGGGGTGATTGTTTACTCACAGATTTTGACTCTGAGTTGTACATTACAAAATGTAAAGCCCTAAAATGTATAAGATAAAAACTTTTTAACAAAATAATTAACCGCCGCAAATACTGAAAAACAAAAAATACTAAACCTTTTTTATCTTTAGTCAAATTAATATTTGGTTGGTGCCATGCATTTCTGATAGATTTGAGTTCCCATTTACTACTTGGGTTGGCATGGCACCGACTCCAAATATTAATTTGACTAAAGCTAAAAAATAAGTTTATTATTTGTCGGCTGTTTATTTTTTTGTTAAAATGATTTTATTATGTTAATTTACTAATTTAATATCCTTTACACAGCTCCTTTACGAGTTGCGACAACGATAGAATTCAAACATATTATTCAGCTTTTCTACCTACATACCGAGTATATCACCTCCCTTCTCATTATCCATGGTGCCAACTATCGCTATTCCAAAATTCGTTACGATAACTTAGCATATTATATAAAGCAGTTGAGTTTGAGCCTTTTCTGTTCTGTTCGTAGTAAGTAAGTAGCTAATTCGAGCGGGCTGAACTTATAAAGTTCAGCTTTCCAAGCGTGTGTAGAAACTACGCGCGTCGCCCCGGCTCGCTGCGTCAAAGTTTTGTCAAATGTATCTCGGGACAATCCAAATAACATCCGCGCGTGTAATATTTCCGGACGCCTCGGGGGGATCCTAGTGACACTTCGGACGGCTATTTTATAAGGTTGAGGCAGCCATTTTAATATTTTGCTAATAGAATAAGTCTTCTTAGTTTCTGCATCTCGACCCATTTCATTCAATTACTAATTCAAAAGATGAGTGACAAATAATATCTGCCGTTTCAAATTACTGGAAAACATTCAAATCTGTATCCGACAGACTTTCATAGTGCGACTTTTTCCCAATTTAATAAAATAACGATAAAAAACACATAGACATTTAATGATTTATAATCCGTAAATTCTAGAAAAAAAGAACACCTTTATTTCTCGATCTAGAGCTCCAGAATGATGTTAATAAATAAAAAAAATCAATTTTAACTTCATGAAAAAGTCATATCTCAATCTTTCTTTGAAATTCATTGATCTAGTAGAATTGAACGCCTTTTCCGATAAATAATCACTCAAGCAGGGATGATTTTAAATTGAATCGACTAATCGTTAGAACTTTAGAATGATTATTTTATTGTTTATGTTTATAAAAGTTTTACATACAAAAGGTGATAATAATAAGTAGTCTTGTTATTATGGCAATTGCATAGCCATTGTATTTTGTTGAACGGATATGAATAGTATAATTCTGTAAACTTCTGAAACATACGGGTGATTTAAATGCAATATTTGATGACTGTCAACGAATTGAGCAATTAACATTATATAATGCGGATTTCCTTTATATCTCTATAGACTGTCAACTGTTTAGAAAAACTACTTAAATTAAATGCAATAGGTAGTTTTAGTGTTCTTTTTCATCGATAATAGCGGGTACTACGTCGATCGATTGTAGAAATAAAAGATTGATCTTGCCTACTATTAATTATTATTATTATTATAAATATTACATTAGGTTGTGGTTTTTAGCTTCCAGTTATGGAGTTAATAATATAAGGAACGCTGTTGATGAAAAATACTTAATACTAGTGACTGCCCGCGATTTCGTCCGCAAACTTTCGTTTTTTTTTAGAATCCCTCAGGAATTTTTTTCTAGGTAAAAAGTATCCTATGTCTCAGTCCAGGTTAAACTATATAATATGTGCTGAATTTCATCCAAAATACTTTCAGCCGTTTTTTCGTGATTGAGTAACAAACATATAATTTATTTTTATAGCTCCAGACGCAACGATAGCTGGTACGGCAAAAACATACATACAAATACACAATCTTTCACATTTATAATATGAGTAGCAATTAGGATTAGCAGCATTGCGAACTGCAGTACGCTGTATAGTTTTATTGTTCGCTTTGCACCTCTGTTTGTGTTCCGCCGGATGCGTTAAGCGGTGTCGATATCCGATTGCGGCTTCAATCTGAAACGAAATCAGATAACTGAGATTTATTGATTTACTAAGGTGTATGTATAGTAAATACCTATAATATTGTAATGTATGGTCGTCAGATACTTTGAAAAGAGCATTTTTGATTGTTCTTGGTTAGCGAATAACCAGTAATTTAAAAACTAAGTAGGTAGGTGCCGCAAAAGTTAATTGATTATATAACATAGCTCGTTGTAAGCCGCTTTTTTCATTCGCCAAATAAAATTGGATCTTATTATTTTTTTTTTTATTATTTTGCAGTTGTTATTATTTCATAGCAATGTTGAATTATTAATACATTTCGATTGAACTACTTATTCATTTTCGTGGTCAATTAACATTTTAATGGCATTGAAAGATAAGCCTTTTCCAATAATCATTCGCATCGGCACCAACCGACACTAGCCGTTATTAAACATCACTAGCCTGATAATCTGTAATTGATCAGTGATATTTTATAAGAAATACAAGGCTTTTCGCTGGCAAACAAATCGGTTGATTCATGTTTTTTAAGCCCAATTTCTACATTTTCATTCGGAAAAGAGCAACATGTTACGATTTCGTTTGAATGTTCCATGAATTTCCTAAAACAAACACTGTTATCATGTAAATGGTTTATAGATTTCCCTCAGTGCGTTCGGATAAATGATTTTATTATTGTAACAAGCTATTAGATCAACAAGGCGTCCCGCCACGAGGTATACTGTGCCCAGTGTTTGACTACAATTATGTAATAATAACAAGCATTGGAAATCGAT